GGGGAGCAACTGGCTCTGCAGAGCGAGCTTGGGCTGAGAAAACAGAAAAAGGTGAAAGCAAAGATAAAAGTACACACTCTCTGGGAAACAGCGTGGACTATCATGGAAAAGTACGATAGCAAAGCCTTCATGGCATGGATGTGGCCTTTAGGCTGTCTAAATCTTGAGGAAACCTTTGAGAACTTGTACATCCGGGTCCTGAGAAGCGGTGCTGGGCTCCCACCTCTTAGGGTGACGTCAGGTCTAGGCTCCTATTGAGACCCTGGGGAGTTCTCGCGAGAAGTCCATGGGCAGGGCTTTGGGAGCTGCTCTGCGGAGGGGTCGGCGATCTTGTAATTAGCAGGTCACATCTACTTCCCCAGCCAGCTTTGCCACGCCCCAATCTTTCCCTAATCACATCCGGAGTGACTTCTACCCTTCACTTCCTTGGGGCTCCTGAGGACACTTCCACTGCTCTCATTGCCAGCACCTCACTTGATACCACTGAGTTGGTGTGGCCTTGTGTCTTCTGCTCTGGGCCTGTGAGCTCCTGCCCCCGAGATGGCGGGCTTCTGTGTAGCAGGACTTTGCCTGCACAAAGCAGATGCTCGGTGTTGCTGTCTCTCTTGCCCACGGTGTCTTCTCTACCCTGAGGCGCCGACAGGAGCCCTGAGATACTGATGCAGAGCTCTTAAATCCCCCAAACCACGAGTCAAATACACCTGTGCACAAAATGCCCAGCCTCGGGAGTTTTGCCACAGCAACAGAAGACAAAAGATATCCGGCCCTGGGCCTTTCGTGAAAATCCTGTGCAGAAAAATGTATGGGTGGTGAGGATGTATTTCCTGGGCTCCTCCAAGTCCTTGTTCATTGTGCCAGCCAAAGGGTCATTTCCATTTAATGCCTTCTTTTCACCGTCACCAAGTTAGGTCACCAAGTTAGGTCACTCATGTTTACCGTCACTCACCAGGCCCCTAGAGGCAAAAGTGGCTGTTAGTCTTTTGTTGCCTAGGAAGGCTTCTTTGTATCCTTATTTCTCTGATGGATTTTGAAAAATACGACATAATTTATCCTGCTGTTACAATAGGATCAAAACATCTTTTGCCACTTTGCATAGATACATCCAGCGTGGAAACCTTCTAACACTCCTTTGAGCCTTAAGAACAAATTATCTGTCCATCTCCCAGCCCAGTTCATAATCCATCAGGTACAGGATCATTACAAAAGTGGCTCCCATTTAGAAGCCACTGGCGTAGAGTAATTCTGAAGTCCTACTGTGTGGTGCTCTGGAGCCTACATGAGAGGCAGGTGAGGAATGTCCTTGTTAGTCTCTGACTCTCCTCACTCAGTGGGGAGGAATCCCTTGCTCCTTCGCCATCCTACAGTCCAGCGGCCTCCTGGAGGTTTCTCCCTGGCCACTTCCGGGGCTGCCAGGCTGCTCACTCTGCCTGACAGCACTCAGGGCAGGAAACGGGAAGAAATGGTTTCTACATCCATTGCAGTGCAAGCTCGAGGTGTCTGTGGCGATGCAGAAACATAGTATACTTCTTCTGGTCTCTGCACCCCGTCAAAGTTATTTTCTAGACTAAATTCTCAAGGTCTAATCTTTTCTTTCTGATGCCGTTTCTCGCTCTCAGCCCAAAGGCAGCTGTCTTGCAGGTATCTGATGCAGTATGTAGGTAGCCTCAGAGCCAGCCTCCGCAGGCCCAGTTAATTTGTTCCACTGAGTTGTACTGAGATTTTATTGTTTAAGCCACTGGGTTGGTCTCTTTTGGGGGTGAGGTGGGGTACTACTGGGGCTTGAAGCCAGGGCCTTTGCACTGAGCTATATCCCCAGACTTTTTCTTATTTTTTGAGACAGGGTCTGGTTAAATCGCTAAGTTGCCCAGGCTGGGCTCAATCTTGTGATCCTCCTGCCTCAGCCTTCCAGAGTGCTGGGATAGCAGGTATACATCACCCACGCCCACTGTGTCTCATTTTTCATAGATGGAGCTCTTTCACTTTCTTAGACTTCTGCAGTTTGAACTGTTTTCTTTTGTTTCCATTGTGCTTATGAAGCTCCTCTCTTTCTTGTAAAATCCTGCAGCAGGCAGCCAATGTGAGTATTCTTTTTCCTAGCCCTTCTCTGGGAGCTAATGGAGTTGGTTGGGACAAGGCCTGCTTCCTGGTTATTGTGGGTCACCCCATCTTTTATTGAAGCACAACATGGGGTGTCATCTGTCCAGCCCCTGAAATCAACTTTTTTGTTATTTTGTTTTTTTACGGTACCCTGGGATTGAACTCAGGACCTTGTGCTTGCCAGGCAGGTGTGGCGCCACTGAGCTACATTCTCAGCCCCCCTGAAATCAGTTTATTTTTCTGTTCAACTTCTAAGCCAATGCCATGTATTTTATTTTAGATTTTTTACCCAAGTACTCCACTTTGAGGAACCAACTTCTGTACAAAGGCTAATCACTGCAGTAAAGAAGCCTAAAGACTCAGTGGTGTACTCATCATAAAAAAGCTTGTTTTTCGCTCTTTTGTGGTTTTGCCCCACATGGCTTTATTGGGGTTGGGGACACAGTGTTGTTCATCCAGTGGCCCAGAAGCTTCTGGGTCTCGGAATCCTCCCCCAATCTTCCACATCTGGCCAGAACCTGAGGGAGGCGAGTGTGGGTCACTGTGTGAGAGGATTTGGGGTGGGGCTCAGGTCTGGCCATGCTTCTCTGGGAAGAAAGCCAGGGAATAAAACTGGTCTGCGGGCTGGGAAGATGAGGCTATGGGCTTGGGTTTGGGGAATAACCAGCCAGTCTTTACCGCACGCAGTACAGTTCCCATCTTTCAGCTCACACAGCTGAGCCGAGAGCTTAGTGGTTTCCAGATACCACAGGATAACAACAGAGCTTGGAACTGAACCCAAAGCTGGCTGAGCCCCAGCCACACTCTGAGCCACCCGGCTGCCCACCTGGCCTGCTGTCTTCATGCCTCAGTGGCTTGTGACAGCTTCAAACCCGAGACTGCCTCTCTGTGCCCTGTGATCTGTGACAGGGCTTCCTCCAACACAGACTTTTCCTTGCTGTTTCAGTAGCTAATTGGCTCTCTTTCCAGCGACCCGTCCCTGGGTTAGTCTGCTATGGATAAAGATGCTGAGAGCCACTACCATAAAACTGAAAGACAACACTGAGACAGAAGATTAAAAAGACAGGAAGGGGTGAAAAGGGGTTTCATCATAAGGGTACCCAGAGTCTAGCGTTGTGTCAGGAGTGCATCAAATGCAAAGTGTCACCATAGAAGGAGCTATGTAAATTCTACAGATTAGTTCATGTGAGACAAGCACTTAGGAAATGGCTGATCTCAGCCTGGCATGGTGGCGCACACCTATAGTCCCAGCACCTGGGAGGCTGAGACAGGAGGATCCTCAAGAGTTTGAGGCCAGCCTGGACTACATAGTGAGACCCTAAATACCAAAAATAAATGAATGCATGCAAGAATGAATGAATGCCTGATCTCAGATGCTGGGGAAGGCCCTGCTACTGCTGGCTATTTCTTGATTACGGATGAGGCCCGGGCTGCTCCTGGCACAGGATGCTTTCATCTTCAGATGATGTCAGATAGCACAGAGCCCTAGGAAGAGGTGTGCACGGCCTGTACTGGTTGTTAAGTGCTCATGGAGGCCGAGGGAGGGGTGTGAGGATCCCTACCTGACACTGAGCAGGAAGCAGAGACTGGAGGAGGAGCTCACAGGACAGCCAGGCTGTAGCGCTATGCCTAAGGCTCCTGTGTGCGCTGCTTTATACACATTCAATATTTGCTTAAAGGGGTAGAAGACACAGGTAAGCCAAACTCCCACACAATTCACATTCACAGCTGGCTGTTAGAAACAGAGTAGGGTGTGACCTCCACCACCCAGCAACTTGCCCTAAAAGTAAGGGGGCTTCATGACTCGGGAGTCAGAGACCCCCAGGCCCAGGACAAGGTGCTGTGGAGGGAGAGCTCTGTTTAGCAGCTGGGAAGTTGTGCTTGTTATGGGGTCTCAAGCTCTTCTTCTGGTTCATGGTGGCTCAAGCAAGCGCCTTACCCTTCTTACCACCCCAGTATCCAGTGTGCATTGACAGCAATGCGTTAGTCAGCTTTCTGTTGTTGTGACAAAATACCCAAGACAGTCAATGTATAAGGAGGAAAGGTTTTGTTTTTTCACTTTAGATTTAAATAACTCCCTGGGAGCACTTGAGATGAGCTGTTTTCCCTACCCCTTTCCACGGATGGGATTCCTGGAGGTGCTGTCCTAATTAAAAAAATAGTAAAATGTGTGATGGCGGAGTTCTGGTTTTGTCAAAATTGTTTGTGTGGATTTTTCTGTAATTTGAACTCCTGCCTGAGCTGTTTATTTTTTCATAGTGGGAATAAACCCAGGGTGATCTACCGATGAGCTACATCCCCAGCCCCCCTCCTTCCTTCTCTTCTCTTTTCTTTCACTCTGAGACAGGGTCTTGCTGACTTGCCCAGCCTGGCCTCAAACTTGGAGCCCCCTTGCCTCAGCCTCAGCGGTAGCTTTGGGTTGTGTTGGCATTGCTAGAGCCCTGGGAGAGGTAGAATTTGGAGGGTGAACAGGTGGATTGTTATTCCCCCAAGTATTTACTGAGCACATGTTCTGCCTGGCATGTAACAAACAGGCCCTAGAAACAGAGATGAAAGACAAATTATGACTTGCAAGGATTTTATGGCTTCGAGTTAGAGGAAAATAAGGAGAGAAATGTTGCCAGTGTGGGTCAGGGACGATCATGCATGAGGGTCTGGAAATCCAGGCCAGCAAGGCCCAGAGCTTACACAGGGTGAGCTTCCTGGGGGAGGTGACTCAGGAGGGAGGCTCAGGGGGAGGCTCAGGTCCCCAGATGTCAGGGTGGCTGGGGGTTTAGCGGATCTGAGGATGACAGGGGTGGGGTGGGGAGGTTGCTGCCAGGGACCAGGCTTGGCTGAGGAGGTGGCATCGAGGGGCCCTGGCCAGCAGCCCAATCTCTGGGCCACTCTGCTTACAGTGCGGTGGGGGCTGTAGTGCAGGAGTGGAGGCTGTGGGTGAGGAGCCAGGTGCAGTTTGCGCTTGGCTGGGAGGCCAGAACCCTGTGGGGGATCTGAAGGTCCCAAGGCCTGAGAGTACAGGGAATGGAAGCAGAGACATGGGTGCTGGGGCGGAAACTGGAATCCTGTGTGTCCCTGGTGGGAATGTGAAGGGCGCGGCTGCTATGGAGAACAACAGTGTGATGGATCCTCAAATGTTAGCAGTTACATGTGGCCCAGTAACTCCCTTAGTGTGTATCCCCAAAGGAATGGAAAGTGGGGATCTGCAGATGCTCACCCACCAAGGCTCACAGTGGCACCATTCACCACAGCCACAAAAGGTGGTGACCCAAGGTTGATTCTGAAACCAGCCTGTCTGTGCATGGAATGCTGGTCAGCCCTGAAGGCCATTCTGATATGTTATACCGTGAATGAACCTTTAAGACAGCCTGCTAAGTTAAATAAAGCCAGAAAAGGTGTAAATGTTGTAGCACTCTACCTCTATGAAATACCTGGCAGAGGCACAGTCAGAGGAGTGTAGAATGGTGGCAGGCTGCGGCTGAGGGAGGTGGGAAGTTACTGTTTATGTGTGTGGAGTCTGGGATGATGAGGAAGTTTGTGAAATGGACAATGATGATGGGGGTGTTCATGAATGCCACTCACTGTAACTCAAGATGGTGAATTTTACTATAATTAGGAAAAAAAGAGCTCACCAGGAAGAGGGGCACCATGGATGGAGTAGGATGTGGAATCCTAGGCTTCCTGTGGTGATGGTGCTGGGGTTGAGGGTGCCAACACTGTGGACAGGGCAGGGCGAACACTAGAAGCTCACAGCACAGCAAGGCACATATGGCCGGGCCATGGGGACAGGGCGAGGGGACGGTGTGGGTGGAGACTTACCCAGCTGCACAGCAATCAGTAATATAAGGACCTCAACGCCCTTGCGGCACCCAGTCCTCCCTGCCAGGCCCACATGCGGGCATGGGCTGTGCGCATTCCCAGCGTCAGTGACTTCCGCAGTGGGAGCACTTCCGGAAGGCGTTCCTTGCCGCGGCGCTCCTCAGTCTCCGGACCCGTGTGGCTGTGGGATACAGAAGCACGCTGGGCGGAGTGTCCAGTGATTCCAAACAGTTTAATGTAATTCCAAGACGAAGTGTGATTACATTTCTACACATATACAATATGCATATGTGAGTTTACAAATTTTAATTAATAACTCGTTTCACCTCAGAGACCGAAAAAATGATCAAAAGAAACTGTAACAAGCTATAACATAGTTCACCACAACAGGACCCCGTTTCTCACCCTACAGTTAGTAATATTACAATTAAAATAACTATATTCTTCTATAATTTTTTCTGTTAAAATCATCTCATAAATTTACAATGCTATTAGTTTCCAAGACTAATATAAATTCACTCCATTTTTCTACAACGAAAATGATTAATTTAGAAGCACACGACATCATGATGAAAAAACACAAGCATTTTAGTAGCAAGGACTTGATCAGTTAAGAATTAGTTTTCTTGTAAAACATTCTAAAGCCAAGTAAAATATCCATTCTTATAACATACCTATAATATGAGACTAAGGAATAGTTACACAGAGGTCTACAACACATTGGTTTGTCTTTAAAAAAGTAGACATTTATAAATAAAAAAGAAAAGAGGGACAATTCACAGAGGGAAAAGAGGTACACAAGAAAATACTGTTGCACGCAATAATTTTCACACAGATTAACATGGATTAACACTTTTTATTACAGAAACCGTACAGTGAGAAACACAACGGACCAGGGCTTCATGGGGTTACTGAGATTGAGCTAAGATGACCCGGTAGAGAAAGAGCTGGGTGAGGTGACCAGGAGGGAGCCATGTACCTAGGGCTGGGGACCGGGTGTCACCAGGCTTCCTCTTTCCCGCTGGCTTTCTGGCGAGTGTGCCTGTCTGTCCAGAGTGTCCTGAATTCATGGGCAGCTGGAAGGTAAACATTTCTACAGATCTGTTCTCTTTCCATCCTAATGGGTATCATTTCTGGAAATGTGATATACTATCGGGCTGCAGCTCAGTATGTGTGGTCAAAGGAAAACAGCCTGGAAAATTCCAGTCATTCTGATCGGCTGCCACCTCTTCCTCATCCATGTCCTTGATGCTGGGGACCAGAGAGCGGTGGCCCCCTCAGGACCCAGCTCCACTGTGGTGAGAGGGACAAGGGCCACCTGGCCCATGTGTGAAGGAGCAGGGATGCCCATGCTAAGGCTGGCTCCGACCTCTACAGGGCTCCGCTTCCCCTCAGCCGTAAAGCTATCTTCTCCTACCAGAATTTGGTTTGATATATATCCACAGACATATATATCAACAACTCTGTCTACACAGTGATTCTACTAACTAGGGCTTCTGCTGCCCCAGAGTGTGCCTTTCTCCTTTATTTCATTTGGTTAAAAAAACGCACGTGAAGAGGGTGAAGAGATGCTTTGGGGGCCTGAAATGGTTATGCCCTGGGAAAGCATGGAAAAAAGCAAGCTTTAAATAAGCAGGGACACAGAGACAAGGGGGGTGGGCAGTGCACAAAGGGACTTCACCTTCTGAGGGTGGGGACAGGGTGGGGATGCTCTAGTTCCATGCAGAAGCCACAAAGGCTACAGAGATGGCACAATCACTTTCCACTTCCCAAGTTCCTCCTTCCCACCTGAGCCAGGTGACTCAACAGTAATAACCCAGTGTCCCTGGAGCCCAGTGGGTGGCTCTCTGACAGCAGGCAAAGGGCCTTTCGGCCTGGCTCTCAAGCTTCTCGGAAGTCCTGGGTGCCTGGGCACGGGGCTGTGGTGACAGCAGGTGGAGGCTGAGGTGGCCACAGGGACAGTGACCCAACACAAGGAAAACTGGGGGGCGGTGCCAGGAGAGATTCATTTGGAGACTTGGTTGAAAGGGAACTAGAAAGAGCAATACCAGAGCCCTCTTTAAAACATACTTTTCAAACAATAAAAAGAGCCAATTTCTATACCTCTAGTTTTTAAAAATATAGATGAGCCCCAAAGACAATGACACAAAATTCATTTGGTTAATTAGTGCAAAGGAAAAGCACACGCGTGCACACACACACACGAGCACACACAAAGGTGGGAGGACAGTTAAGAGGGCGAGAGGAAGAGCACTCCATAGCAACAATTCTAACAAAGAAAGCCAAACAAGACCCTGGTGTCCCTGTGGCCCACAGGGAGAAATCCAAGGTACGATGTGAACAGAGAGCTCCCTGGTCCTGAGTGTGCTGCAGTTCTCAAGGTCGCATCTGTTAGAGGAATGAATCGCACCTGAGGTCACAGCAGGTCCTCCACAGTCCGGTGGTGGCACAAGAGAAAATAAAAACCAAACAAGACTTAAGGAAAACAGCACTTCCCAGCCTGCCCTAAGCTCTCTCATTGTCACAAGCCCTCTCTGTGCACCAGGCCTTGGGGGACCGGCCTGGGCTCCTCCTTCTCCAGATCCTTGGGCTCAGCAGCTCAGTCTCTGAACTGAACCTACTTTTCACGCTCACTGAACTGGGCCTCACATCTCAGCTTGACCATGCGTGAAAAGTAGACACGTCCTTTTGCACTGATTTTTGTTTAAAGGAGAGAATGAGTAAGACAGCAGATATACAAAAACCCCAGCCAATGAATACAGGCATGGAGGTGTATTGTTCTTCTTTTCGACATTGCTCAGAATATCACTGGTGGCCCAGGAAATAGCAGCTGGATCTCTGGGGCCACCTGAATCCCAGTGTCTTCTATTGCCTGGTGAATGGAAGCGAGTAGATCTATGAACAAGTGAAATATTCAAATCAAGAAAAAAATCAATGGACCAGGGGTCAGTTTTTGCTGCCTCTTCCAAGGTGTCAGAGGCCTGCAGACAAGCGTGGATCCAACACGGCATGAGACCCCAGCCGGCCAGAGCTGGGGTCTGACCCTTCCCACCCCATCCCGACTTCCTTTCACATTCTCTCTAGCTCGCCTGGAAACCAGCGTTATGGAGGGAAATGCACACACTGGGCCACAGGACAGTATAGGTAGAACAAAGGTGACTTGGGGATACACGGCCTCCTCCTGTAGAGGCAATTGCTGGGGTTTGGAGATGTCAGTTAGAAACAGGAATTTTCTTTAAAAAGTACCAGTTTAAATGTAAACTATAAAACACTTTAACTATAAAACGTAGCCAGAAATATGCTTAAGTATCCAGAGTCATTTACTTAGTTTACTTGTTTAAAGTGAGACTCTTGGTATCTCAGAAGGCTAACAGCATTTTACAGTAGCTAAGAATATATATGCTGTGCGTGGGTATACTGGAACATCACATTTAATTACAATACGCAGAGAATCATCCCTTCCTTGGTTTAATTTCTTCTCTAAAGATGAACTTTTGTTAGAATTCACTTAAGCAACAACAACCAGGGTGTGCATTAATCAATATTTTCAGCCCACACAGAATTCAGTCTTTTAAATCTCAAGATCAAGCTGGCTACATGATTTCAAAAAAGGCTAAAACCAGGATGAATGCCCACGTTTGAGGTAATTATTGCCATTTTAGGTCACAGTTTGTGTAAGATAATGTATCTAAAACCTTCTAAAAACAATCCTTAGGTGTTCTGTCAGAATTCCAGAACACCTAGTGACACCAACCGGGATCTCAGATTCTGACTAGCTAGGTTTGCTTCCAATGGAGTCAAAGCTCTAAAAGATTCTAGAACTTGTGTAAACTACCTAAGAATTTAGGCAAATAAGCCCGGAGCCACTCAACAAAGCTTTTTTTTTTTTTTTTTTTTTTTTTTAAAAAAAGAAGCAATAAACAAGAAACCCAACCCAAACAACTGAGTAGATATTTTACAGCAAATGATAGTTCTTTAGAAAATCAAAAATCTAGTCCTAAAGCATTTCTCAAGTCTTGATGCCTTTCAACCAAAATGAAAATACATCTGCATTACTATTAATCGCACATCAGGGCCAGAGACCCCTCTTCCTTAATTTCTGAAAGCTGGTTCATTTCTCTGTTCATACAATTGTTGCTTTCCCTTTCTTGGAGAAAGGTTATCTATCTTGAAAGAAAATTTAATTGTATTCCTCTTTCTAAAAGCCATCTTTTCTTTCTTCTTCTTCTTTTTTCTTCAGAAAAGAAAAAAGTTCCTGAACACCAGGCCTACACACGGTATTTACAAATTTGGTGTGAACCCTGTCTCTGGTTCTGCCTGGAGCTGAAGAGTGGATCTGTTACAGAGACCAGAGCCATCATATTTATCAAGTGCAGTAAAAAATAGCATTTTGAAAAAAATATATACCTTTAGTATTGCCTTTCTAGAGTTAACTATAAGCAAGAAAAATTATTTTTTTTAAAAGAAGAGAAGAATACTTTTTTCCCCTTCACTCTCCTAAGAGTTTGTTATAGCAGCATTACTAAAGCTAGTTGGTTTGCTGGAAAGAAATCTAAAAGGAATTGTAGAAATCAAAAGAAACTCCCCAGAGATTTTTCTTAAAAGTCAAACTAATTCTGCCCCTCTGCCTGCATCTGATTCAGGTTCTTTTTGCACAGAGTGACATTCCTTAAAGCCTTTCTTTTCAACAGATACACAGCAGACAGCTGACGCTGGTGGCTGCGTGCTGAGTTCCGTAGCCTGGCAGACTCAGGTTCAAACCCTGCACATCAGACATCTCTCTTGTAAAGGGACTGATATTGCCGGTCTGACAGGGTTAATGTGAAGACAAAATGAGATAAGACAACCAGTTAGTGATTCTGAGCAGTGTTTGGCACACAGGAAATGGGGGTGTTGCTAAATGGGTCATCAGAAAGATGAGGCCACTCATTGCTATGGAAGAAAGTGGAACAAAATCACATCTCAGTAAAGTCCTGATTAACAAAAAGTGACTAGAAACTTGGAGATTCTGGACCACCACTGTACTTTTTAATACATGCCACTCACAATCAGTTGGCTCATCGCCAATGGTGTGTGTGTGGCTGTGATGGCACCATGAGATGAACTTCTAAGGGGCTTGGCATGGGGCCTGCAGTACTGAAAGCATTCAGCAAGTGCTGTCCTTAAGGGATATTGCAAGTTTGAACAAAGAGGCAGTGCATGGGTCTGAGATGAGGGGCTCTCGAAGGCTTGTGGGAGTTAAGCTGGGGGCTCAGGAGGCTGCATGCTGGGGTTCGGTGACAGGGTGCTCCCAGGGCCACTTCTTTGTAAACCTCATGGAATCTCAAGGGAAGGACCAGCCTGGAGATAGCTCTCTTGATCTTTTGGAAGCTGTCCTGAAGATTTTGAGAAACCTCTGCTAAGTGAGCCACAGTGCCAAAAAGCCTTCAGGAGGCCTTTTGCATTTAAATCCCATTTTGCCACGTTCCATCTCCAGTGGCCTGACAAATTTGACTGAGTCCAGTGTGGAGATGAGAAACAGTCCTGAGGCATGGAGTGGTGGCACGCTGTCATCGGAGCCTTTGTTGTGCCTGCAGTCACGCATGATGGGTGTGGGGCCTCTGCCTTTATGTAGCAGCAGCAATGTAGGGTCACTACTCCTCCTCTCCAAGATGAGTGTAGTTTTAAAATAAATGCAATCAAAAAAGCAATTAAAAAAAAGTCAGGGCCGAAAGAAAAATGGAATTGTGTCACCGATGATGTCATTATTGCTCAGAAAGGAGCAAGAGGGATGTCATGTTCTCATCTCTGGAGGCGTCTTTGAGGATTCTTTGGCTACAGAAAGGAACAGTTTCGCTTCCCTTTCCAATTTGGTAAGGACATCACTGACCTGCTCAATTTTGAGGCTTCCCCTTTGAAAATCTGTCAAACACCAGAAAGAAGAAACAAATGGGGAAAGGAGCCTGTGTGTCCCAGGGCTGCAATGTGTTGTGGCAAATAGCTCCTGCCAGCCTCGCACAGTGCCAGGCTGGGCCTGCCGATGAACTGTTGGCTCTCTGTTGAGAGTTCTCTCTGCTAGTTGAGGGCACTGAGCTATTTTCTTCTGTTTTCTGTCCTAGTGGCTCCTTGGCAGGCCAGCTGGAGCAGCTGTCCCCTATCTTACCTGCCCTTGTCCAGATAACGGTGGGGACCTGTGTCAGTCCAGCGACCGTGAATATCAGCAACACTTCCTGAAGCCTGCTCGTCTCCGTGCTCTGGTTCCCAAGAACGTTTGTGCTCCTCACTCACACACACTCACATGACCCAATTCCTCCTCCACGAGCTTGTTCCAAAATGAGTGTCTGCAACTCCTGAGACTGAGTCAAGGGACATCATCCCATCAGGTGTGCCCAGCTCCCCTTCCCAACCTGTCCGACACAGTGGCGATTGGGCAGGCTGGGTGCTCCAGGCTGGGAGGTCAGCCTAGCTAGCTTCCACACCCCAGAGACCCAGCCACCAGGAGGGCACGACAAGTCCATGCAGCCCAGGAGGCAAACGGAAATGGTCGTTCTCTCCAGCCTCCTTCCTCCTCTGAATTTGCCGACCACTTGCTGCGCCCCACAGTGGTAACTGGCAACCACACTGGACTCGCCCACCACACCCTGCTCACCCCTTTCCCTTGGAAATGTCCCAAACTGAGCAGAGACACGGGTGCCAGTGCCCAGACACATCAGTGAGAAATGGCACACAGAAGCAGGTTGCCTTGAGGTTCATAAGGCTCCAACCAGATGCCTCTCCCAGACCTGTCCTTGCCAACTTCTTGCTCAGGACCATTTTCTTCCCTGAGGAAGGATAGAGCCCATCCAAGACTAGAGGATGTGCTGGGGGAGTTGGGGTCTGAATAGGGAGGTGGGTATCCCTCCACTTGAAAGCTTGGTCCAGGGAAGGCAGCTTTGCCGAGGGTACTCAGTGCTGAGCACCAGTGGGGATCTGGGCAAGGGTGCTAATGAGCACACTGGGATCTTCTTGTATGGCTTCTGACGCAACACCTCTGTGCTCAGGATTAGAAGAGGGTGTGAGGTGAGGACTCAGGTGGGCACAAACATCTACCGAATGTCTGTCCACTGTCCAACAACTCATTTCTGCTCACAGGAGCTGCCCATGTCAAACCTTTCTTCACAGTGGCTTGGTAGGTAGCCCATGGGCAGCCATCATCTACAGTGCAGGCACTAAGGGGGCATCAGAACCCGAGGGGCTAGCCACATGGCCCTGCTGTGGCTTTCCATTTGGCAAAGATGAGGGGGTGTGGCCTGCAACGTCTGGCTGGCTGCTGGACCTTGCTGAGGGCTCTCTGCTTCCTCCCAATTCGGACACTCCTTCCTGGCTCAGTGAACTGCACGCTGGGAGGATGTGTGTGTGCAGGGAAAGTGGGGAGGGTGAATGGAGAACGGTGGGGCTGAAACATCCCGGGGAGGCTCCAGCACCCGTTACTCTTACTCCAGGCTTCCCACCAGTGGCTTCCAAGAGGGACACAAACCACACTCTGGGCGTGCTCGTGGGAAAAGGGGGAATGTTGTGCAAAGGGGCTGGGTCAGCTCTGGGAAGAGAGGGGCTTTTGTGGCTTATGTATCAGAAGCACAGGAGAGGAGACAACTGGGGGAGATGCTGTGTAAGGGCTAGGGTTCAATAGTCTAAGGGGTGCCCCAGCAGCCCCTCACCCACAAGCTGCCTCCTTGGGCCCTCGGTCCCTGGAAATCTAGGGACATACATTGACGATGGTCGTGTTGCCCAGAGCCCAGGCTGGACTATAGAGAAAGGTCGTGACACCTTCTTTCAACTTTGTTCTATGGCGGGTCTTTCATGATAGCTATTCGTAGAATAGAGATGACAGGAATAATTTTCCTAAATCCTGGGTCTTTCCTTTTTGTCTGACAAAATTGGACATCTGTGCATCCCTCCAGTCTACTCAGATACTCACAGGCATAATATTATAAGTTTAAATATTAAAGGGAAACACAAAGATACTTGGAATAAATGTGCATTTAAAACCCTGACTAAAATAGCAACAGGATAATGATGATCATAAATATAATGGCAATGACAAAAATAAAATAATCAGCATGATAATATTAACATTATGAGCAGCATGGAATTTTCATTCCTGTCTGGGAGGAGAAAAGGAAAGAAAATTTCAGGAGAAAGAGTTAAGAAGCTTCCACTTAAGGAGACAAAAAGAAATGAGCAGAACTTTTAGGTCATCTTTCCCCTAAGAGAACAGATCTAGAGGACTGGAACTGTGTTGTGCCACGCAGGCCAGCGTGCTGCCCAGGACAGCAAAGTGAGGCTGCTGAGCTGATGCTGCGTGACTCAGTATGAGATGCCATGGAACACTGCTGCCATCTGGCTGCCCAAAGGTCTGTGGCAGCCATGTCTCCCAGGCTGGCGTGGCTCAGGGAGGGCTCCCTCGTTCTCTCTGAACCACCCAGCTTCCCAGTCTCAGGCCGGGCACCGCCCCACCTCCAGCTGATGCTGGTATTGATCATGGCAAGGAGAGTGACTCCCTGCTATAGGCTGTCGCCACTCTGTCTCTGTGTCCCTACAGTGCTGCCAGCATGTGCTCAGCTTTATGCAGGTCATGCTGTGCTTCCTTTTGCCCCAAGGCCTGCCCTAAGCCACTTCTAGTTTGGGGACTTGTTTCTTTATAAGGTAAGAATTTAGGGTTGGGGTGGGGAAGTTTCCAGAGTTCTTTCACAGCTAAGAGCTAAGTCATGGCTTCGCTACTAAAGGCGGTGGACTTCGCTACGAAAACCCTTTCACAGTAGATTGCTCAGGGCCTGTGAGGGAAGAGATGAAGGAAGGGAGGACAGGCTGCTGGCTGGAAGATCTCGGTGCACTGGGAACTTGACTGAGGGATGGGCTGGGACTCTGTGCCAGGGCCAAACAATCAGAGCCATCCTTTGAAGCCCATCCCTGCCCAGAAAGCTTCTATAGTGTCCCCAGCTCGACTGGTCCACTCTAAGCAGCAGGATCTACTTCCCACTCACCCCACTGCCTGCAGTGTTCTAAGCCTGAGAACACTTCCAGAAGTGTCAGAGGTGTGAAGAGGGTACAGGGTTGAATTTGGCGATTTCACTGTCTGTGAGTTTTTTCCCAAGTGCAGTGGAGAAGCTCTGGTCACTCTCACCAGCGTTCTTCCAGCCTTCTGCCCACCAGACCCTTCAAATTCCAAAACCCAAACTGTGGGGCCCAAACTCTCGGGCAGATCTGGGCAACTCAAGGGATGAATTCAACAGGAACAGGTTGGTGGTTGTCTACAGAGGAAGCCCCTCTCTGCAGTGCTGGTGGGAGAGAAAAGCGTGGCGCAGATCTGAGCATACTAGGCTTCTTGTGGAAGGGAGGGACTGGGGTGCCACTGGAGACAGACACCTGGCCTCCGGGCCTCTCCACAGATGGCCCCAGTACGCTGTGCTGGGCCTGGAGGCCGGAAGCCGCTGGCAAAGCTGACATGCCTAAATCCTAGGTCCCACACACAGCAGAGCTTGGGCACGGATGGGTGAGGGTGAAGGGTGCCCCAAAGGAAACAACAAAAACCATTTCTGTCATCAGAGATCTTCATCACCTTTTGGCTCCCAAACAGCTCTCAAGATCCTTGAATTCTCATGGTCCTGCCAGCTTCCCTGACATCCTACTTGCAGACAGCCCAAGAAAGACAATGGCATGAAACAAGGAGAAAAACCCAACAAAAAAAGGAAAGACTCAAGTAAAATGTTACCACTGCGCAACAGAAGAGAGGCGCCCGCTGACAAGCTCAGCCTGCTGTGAACCAGTGGAAGTAAACCCTCACACGCGTCTGTCTGTTGTTCAGTAAGGCACTAGGAGGGAATGGTGTAAAATCAAGACTGAGGGCCGTGACGGCGGTGCTGAGGAACACAGGGGAGGCGGCACCGGCGCTCACACCCACACGCGCTTGCTCGCTTGCTCACCTGGACCACCACATTGGTTACATGCCTATGCTATCCCATTTTTTTGTGCAATTACATAGGAATAGTCTATTGGTATCACTGGAGTTGAACACAAGGTAGAAAACAAGGGTGCGAGTGCTACATTCTACTAGGGTGTCGTTGACGACCGCTAGCCCTATGCTATGTGACTAGGGGTTGATTCAAAGAGAAACTAAATCTTCGAGGGTGTGTGTGGGGGAACCTAAAGTTTGCAACACACATTATTAATGACATCTGAGGAATAACATTGCTTAGGGATTTCTCCAGAGTGCTCAGAAAGAGAAAACCAGCCCCTCTCCCAAGAGGTCCCATTAGCCTGGCTGTTCCCCACTGCTCCTGACGAATTCGCCAGACCTGGGCTCCCCCAGACCAAACCCCGTGCATCGGCCCCTGATTTCAGCCATGGCCTGACACCCTGAAATGGTGTTGACCCTTTAGAGTTCTGGAAAAATCCCTAATTCTTCTGTTCAATTCATTAAAAATCTATTGGACTTCCCATCAGGTGTCCCTGACAGCAAATTCTTCAGTGTCACTTGCTGCCATATGAAAATAATCTTTGAAAAGTTCATAGATAAAATTCTTCAAAAACTGGGGCCCCTCACTCCTGGGATCTTCCTGCGGCTCTCTTCTCCTTTCCAGTTGGGTGCGGAATGGGTTCATGAGCTGTGTTTTTCTGTTACTGATATTTTTTTTTTCTTTTTCTTTTTTAAAATAAAAAGCATAGATTTTTCCCCTCCTCAATCCCTTCCTTTCAAAATGTTCTCTTCTCTGCTCTAAGTCCTCTCACTTCCTGGTTCAAGTTTCTCTGAGTCCTGTCCCTGCCCCTCCCGCCCACCCTGTTTGCATTGTGTGTGTGTGGCACCTTCAGTATGTGGCAGCTCCCGGGGTGGCCGGCGCCCCCTCCTCCCTCCCTGGCCCCCTCCAGTGTTTATATGTAAGGGTACTGGTTGACCTTGGCGGGGCTCAGTGGGTATCCAGTGTAGACGGTGGAGGCTGGCGAGGCGCTGATGTAGGTCTGGTGGGCAAACTGGGCTGGATACTGACTCGGGTGGATGGTGGGTGAGGGCAGCACCCGGGGGCCCATGCTCACGGGGACCTGGTGGACGATGCTGGCCGGGTAGGCAGTGTGCTGCACAGTGTGGCGCGCCGAGCCTTGGGAGGCCACTAGGTGGGCCACGGTGCCAGTGGAGCCCAGGGCGGCTGGTGCTGTGTAGGTGTAGAGGTGCGGCTGTGTGGGGAGATGGGCGGCAGCAGCAGCCAGGTGGGGGTGGACGGTGCCATGGCTGGGGCTGTTGTGTGGGAAGGAGTATGGGGCCTGGGCCATGGTGGGAGTGATGTAGGCCTGCTGCCGTCGGTGGCTCCCGGCGCGGTCCGTGGCCATGTGCTGTTGAGCCTGTGAAGGACAACCAGCGAGAGGCACTGTGTTAGGGGCCAGGCCCTCAAGGGAGTACTGAGAGGAGGAGGAGGAGATGCAGGAGAGACAAAGATGCTTCCCCTTCTGTGCAGATGCTAGGGGACTGTTTTCCTTGGTCTGCCGTCTCCCTTCCTGCAGCAGGGCTGTGGTGGCCTGGGACAATGGGCAGGACACCCATCTACCCTTTGCAAGGCTGAGATGGCAGTGTTGGGCCCTCCTATTTGTAAGCCCTGGGACCATGATGCCACCTCCCCACACATGATCCAGGGGGAAAGAAGCCACCCAGAGTCACTGTGCTGTAGGACCTTCACTGGTTTTTTTGAGATAGGGTCTCATTATGTAGTTCAGGCTGCCTTGAACTCACTGTGTAGTCCAGGCTGGCCTTGAACTCACAAGCAATCCTCTTGCCTCAGCATCCCTAGTGCTGGGATTACAGGCGTGTGCCACCACACCTGGCTTGGGGGGACCTTCCTGATGCAGCCCGGGTGGTGGGCAAGGGCCTGGACTGTGGCTGTCAGTACAGCTGAAGAACGGGGGCCTGAGGCTGTCTGTGTGGATCAGGCTTACCTGGCTGAGGTTGAGGGGCTGCTGCTGCTGGAAATGGGGGCCTGGCCGCTGTTGCCGGTAGGCGATGGCTCCCGATGAGCTCCCTGAAGAGTGACCGCTGGTAGAGGTCACGTTGCTGGAGGACTTGGACTTGTAGGAGGAGGAGTGGTGACTGGTGCTGACTGTGGTGGGAGGAAGGACAGATGACAGATCAGTGGCCAGTCCTATGCTCCCCTCCAGGCAACAGTGGCCTTCCCGGAAGGACATGTGCCTGAGACTGGCCGGGCACAAGTCAGCCCAGCCTCTAAAAGCCCAGTTGGGATCTTGCCTGGACTCTAGATTGGCAGCTGGGTTCCACTCACTTCCTCAGTTGGGGATGGGGTGGGGTGTAGGGCACACAAATACAGGGCCTGAAGCAAAGGTAAAGGGAACAGGTATAGGTGAGGCAAGGCAAGTCAGGGGCCCAGTTGGGCCTCACATGGGTCTTCCCAGGTGGTGCTGCTAGTGACATCTGGGAGATAGTGGAGGGATTCCTGCCGGGTCCCCTCATGGGTGACTATGAGGATCAAATGCAACCCTGCCTGCAGCGGCACCTACTGAGCAACCAGGATGAGCGGCAGGAGCTAAGGTACTCCTGTGGGAGGCACTAGGCCGGGTCTTGCCCTGAGCAGGATGAGGCTGATTCACCCAGGAGACAGCTCTGGGAGATGTACTTGGCCAAACATGATGCCTGTCTCTTCTACACTGCTGACAAGGAGGCCATGCAGACTCAAGTGACTGCTGGCCAGGAGGTGGTCACACCCCAAGGTAAATGAGGCTCTGGCCCAGCAGCTCCAAATGGGCATTTTTGTCCTAACAAGTTCCAGGTCCTGATGTGGCTGGCTGGGGGGGTGGGGGGCACATCCTGGGCAGCCAGGGGCCTCAGGAGCGAGGCAGGTTGTACTCCGGGTTGGATACCCAGGTGCCTGGCCAGTGGGAGCCAAGGAGCCTCTAAAGAGCTGGCTGGCTTTTTTTTTCTTTAGTACTGGGTGCTGAACCCAGGGCCTTCACACTAAGCTACATCCTCAGTCCTTTTGTAATTTTTAATTTTGAGACAGGGTCTCCCTAAGTTGCTAAGCTGCCCAGGCTGGACTGGAACTTGTGATCCTCCTGCCTCAGCCCCCAGAATACAGGGATCACAGGTGTGAACCATCACATGCAGCAAGCTGGCACCCTTAATCCAACAGGAAGTATTTTCTGAGCTCCTGCTGTGTGCCAGGCACTGGGAGTATGTACTACCTGGGACAGACCAGGTGAGCGGGAATAAAAAGCATCATCACATCCGCCACCTGCCTCACAAGCACAAGGTCCCAAATTCGATCCCAAAACCAAAAAAAAAGAGGACCCTCACAGATGGTTAAGAGGCTGAGGCAGGAGGATTAAGCAGGTGAAGGTGCTGGTGGGTGGCTTAAGCAGGATCAGGAGTCCCAAAGTGCAGGGGGCTGGTGTAGGTGATCTTCCCTCACCTGGATCTGGGGGAGCCCTGCTGGGAGTGGTCCGTGCTCACGTGAGCTTTTGGCAGGGGCCAGGGCACAGCCAGGCAGACAAGACCATCACTGTCTTACAATCCCCTGAGGTTCCTATATTCTAGTTCTTCCACGGGAGGGCATGGCCTAACACTTCAAGGCTCTCAATAAGCAAGGCTCTCTGAGCAAAGAAATGCACTGAGCAGCATGGGCCAGAGTCCCTTCATTCATCAAAAACACAGTACCCCAACAGCAAGAGCAAGCAGATACACATGCATGAGAAGACACTGGGTTTCTTTAGGTGAAAGGCTGCATAGGGGCCTAGGCAAGGAGCCCAGGAGGGAGAAGGTTACAGATGCCCTCTGCACTTTGGCTCAGATGCCAGCAGGAATAGAAAAGGCCTGCAGACTTGTGCTATGTGGTTTAGAAACCACGTTACAACACGGATGGCTTCCACTACTTATAGGAAGAGTAAATGAGAAGAAAACATCTCTGAGGCAGGACAGGCAGGTGGCCCCCCACAAGCAAGGCAGGTCAGCCAGGACAGCACCAGCCCTGGGCTCAGTTGGGGGCCAGCTGGCTTCCTGGGGACAACTGTCCCTATTGGGTAAGGTGCACAGGCAAAGGCCAAACTGATTCTAGCCTAAGAATAAGACCAAGAAGGCTTTGACCAAGGGAAGAGGAACAGGACACGTTTTAAAAGAAAGGCAATGAGATCCCTTGCTTCCACTGGCCCATGTTTATCTGAGCACTTCCTGTGTTGTGGCTCCTAGTCAGTGATTTGTTTTTCTCCATTAGGTTTCTAGAATATGACTAAAATACAGGTCTATGTCTCAGGCTGTTTGGCAGTAAAAATTCAGGATGTTTATATTGGGGCCTCTGCAGCTTGGGCAAAAAAGCCTATCACCATTCTCAGTGAGGTATGCCATGGCAGCTGGCATGAAATTGTTGATTCTGGTATTTTATGCGGTACAAAGTGCTAAACATTAACGAACTGTACACAAGATTAGGCCCTTGACTGAACTGGGCTGGGTCAATTCTATGAAAAATCCCAAAGCAATGAAATCAAAACAAAGATGAAAAGCCTGAGGCTGGGGCAGGCAAGAGAGGATGCTGATTAATTGTTGATAAAGACAGAAGTGTGCCTTCGAAGACCCCAGGAGAAGGACAAAGGGAACTGGAAACCCAGAGACAGGGTAATGGCATATGCTGAAGGCAGAGGGTTCCTTCTCCCTAGTCAGAAGGGAGTGCTGCTCCACTGGTGAGGGAGGTAGTTACCAGAGGCCCCGAATCTGACTGGCCAGCACCCTAAACTCCTACTCACGGTGTAAGTCCCTCTGCTGGGTGCTGAGACCTGGTATGTTAAGCTTCCCAGGGGCCCAGAGCCAGCCTGGTACTGGCAGAGTAGATCTCTGCTTGTGCATCAGGGTGCTGAGACTCAGTATTGTGCCCAGGGCAACCCAGTAAGAGTCCCAAAGGCCCCTAAAACCTGGGGGGTGAGGAGGACTCCTTGTGGACCCAATGTGGGGTTGAAACTAGAAAGCTGTGAGTTTGGGCTGTCAGCAGAGCCTGTCTGTCTCACACTCAGCTGCGTGGTGCTGTGCTAGAGCTGAGCACCGTCGTGCTCTGCAGCAGTGAAGGGAGCTTGCTATCTAGGCCCAGTTGTGGATCACCTCTCTGATTCCACCTTTGGGGGATTTATGGCCACTCCGTGTGAGGGAGGAACAAAGAGCTCAACGGGGTGACAGCCTGGAGCTGCAAAGGACATGGTTAGACAGAGCCTGGCATTCCACCAGCTACTGTCATTTCGGGCCAGGAGATTGGGACTGGGTCAGAGGTAGGGAGGTGGTAGGGCAGGAGGGGTCCTGAAGGGACCAAGAGTCATTCAGTGATTCCTCCCACAGGGCTGGACATGGCTGTTGCTGAGGTCGGCCTCCTGCATAGATTCTTGGGCTAAAAAGGAGCACCCTGGATGCCTCTGGTCACGCCTGGCCCAGCCACCCTGGGAAGAGCTGCTCTTTCATAGCCTACTTGTGCTGGGTAGGGAGAGTGCTCAGAGCATAGGAGAACCTGGTCATAGGGCCCTGGGTCAGCTGGCCACCCTTTCTGTACCTGCATTTTTTCACCCGGGGAACCAGGAGCTCTGAGGCTGTGAAGGCAGCTCCCAAGAGCAGGTGTCTGGCCTTCAGTGGCCCAGCCCTGGCCTGCCTGAAACTTGACTGCTGAACTTTCCCTCAGCCTTGCATCCTTCTAACAAATTCTTGAGCCAGTCTAATTTGTTCTGTCTTCCAGAAGAACCTCAGCTCCCGCTAGAGGACCTGGGAGCCACAGGAGGGACAGGTCTATGCAAAGACAGGTCTCCACACGGACTGACCTCAGAGGGATTGGGGAGCCCCTGAGCTCCTGGGTGCTGGGACTCTAGGCAGGTGGCTTAGCTGATGCATTCTGGCCTGGATGGGCTCCTGAGCAGCAGCAAGCTGGGGAGAGGATTCTCCTGGTTTCCCAAGCTAGACTGACTGTTCCAAGGAGTGTTGTGGGCTGGGAGGGTGGGTGCAGACCCAGTTGGGAGCCATCTTGCCCACTGTCCTACCCACAGAGCACAGCAGTTTCCCAGGTTCCCAAGTCCTGAGTAAGCTCTGTCTGCAGCCCCAGGCTTTCTGCACACAGTATCTGGGGAGTTGCACAATATAGTATACAACACAACAGAAATCAGGTCTTGGGAAATGCATCATCTTAAAAAAGTGTGGTGGTTTAAAACAACTTAGGGTATATCTAGGCCACTGCTCTACACAATCTTGTGCAGTGAATGACTTGGTGTGCCTCACAGGACCCCTTGGTGACTGTGTCAGGATGCTGCTTCCTGGCAGGGTTTTGGATAGAGATGTCCCTGTAGCCTTGAGGAAGCCAGCTACACTTCTGTTTCTTCAGAGGTGCCAAACTGGGGCTCCAGCCTGGGTCCCTGCCTTCAGATCACCAGAAGCTGGCAGTCAGTACAGCTAGCCTGTTAGCCAGATGCACTCCCTGGCATTGCTGTGGGCCTGTTTCTGCTGCAGGTAAGGCCTCCTCCTTACAGGATCGGCTGACCCCAGGAGAGAAAGAGGGTGGTATTCCTGAGTGGAGTGGCTTGGCTGCCCACACTTACTTCTCAACCAGGGAACCGTGGGCCCTAGGCAGGACCACCTGCCCGCTGTGCCCCCCTTCCCCGAGCACTGACTCCAAAGTCCAGGTCTCTCGGAGCCCATACGGTCTTCACAAACTCTGGGGGTCAGGACAGGCCAGGCTGCGCACATGAAGCAGCTTCTGCAGGGTGCTGGGCTGGCTATGGTTAATGAATATTTTTTCTAGAAAAGGGAGCAGGCTATTTACAGAGTCAGGGCAAGAGCTCTGACAGGAGGGCCACCTGGCTGCCACCTGGGCCACCTTAGGTTAGGGTGGGGATGCTGAAGGAGAAAGAAGCCTGAAGCTGCTTGTTTCTCCTTCAAGCAGAGTCTCTTGGTGCCAAAAGAGTGCCTAGTGTCCTAGGCCAGAAAAGTCCCCACAGACTCCGTCCTGAGTCCTACTCTCAGGATGCCTACACCCTGGATGGCAGCAGCAGAACAGCCTATCCTTCCTAGTCCCAATGTATGCTGACCACTCAGGAAGACCCCATTTCCCGAGGTAACTTCTAGTGACAGACGGGGGGTTTCTTCTGAGGAGCACAACTTCTCACATCTAGACAAATCTCAGCAGTGTGTGCCTTACCCTCTAAATAGTGCCATCGTCAAGGGGCTGCTTAGCTGGAGTTGTGACACTATGTGGCAGAAAAGCAGAACATGCAGATTTCTTTAGGGTTAGTCTCAAATTCATCCACTGTGAGCATGGGCAAGAGAAACACTGAATAGATGCTACTAAATAAACCCAAGGTGTGTGGGGCGTGGTGCACACCTGCAAGCTCAGCACTTGGGAGGCTGAGGCAGGAGGCTTGCCAAGAGTTGGAAACGATCCTGGGCTACATACATAGTGAGTTCAAGGCTGATCTGAACTACACAGTGAGACCCTGTCTCATATAAAAAAAGAATTCTACCTTGGTTATTTGCAAAATGTCCTATGTAAGAATTATCTGCAATAATTAGGCACTATTTTCCTGGTCCTCACATTTCTAGTAGCAGAAAACAAGAAATGCAGTTTTTTTTTTTAGTACTGGGGATCGAATTCAGGACCTTGTGCTTGCAAGACAGGCGGTGGCACCACTGAGCTAAATCCCCAGCAAGAAATGCAGTCTTGAGAGAGATGGTCCTCCATTACCTGGCCCCAGGCTGTCACACTCCACCAGTACTTCGCTGGCCTGGGTTTTCAGGGGGGGCACGATGATGGTTCGGGGATTGCCATGGTTCTCCAGCCCCCCTTTGGTGTCAAAGGTGTTGTGCCCAGTGCGTTGCTGCACAGAGTATGGGCTGGTGTTGCTGGAGGAGTCGGAGTACGGAGAGTCGTGGACTGTGACGCAGCTGATGACATTTTTCCTTTGCTTGGAGATAGTGCTGTGAAGGTAGAGGGAGAAGCCAGATTGGTGAGAAGGCTACTTCAGAGAACTCATGTGTGAAAAACCCCTTGCCATGCCCTGGGGAAAGTGAGGGAGGCGGGCTTGCAAATGTCACCTAAGTGGCAGAGGCAATGTGAGACAGCAGGACGGGGCTGGTGCTTATCGGTATTTCTGGAAGGTGGGAGCTTCTGGGTAAGGCTGGATTCTCCCTGTGTGGCAGACTGATGAGCTATGTGGCAACCAGCCCTGGACCACTGGAAGGGGACATAGGTGCATGGTCAGAGGACCTGGTTTAGGAGAACACTGATGTTGGAAGGGAAGTGGTCATAAGCTCAGGCGGGGGCTGTGTGGACAGGGAGAGCTTAGGAAGGAGAGAGTGGGATGTGAACAAATCAGGATGCAGCTGGAGGGATGGGTGACAAGAGAGGCTCTGACACCCTCTGCCAGCTCCTTGCCTTGTGTGCAGGCCACCCAGGACCTCTGGGAATCCCGGCCCTCCTGTGCCTTGCCTGGTACCTGGGCCCAGACCAGCACTACTTCAGGGCCTAGTGGAAAAGTCCTGGATGCTAATACCACAAGGGCCTTCAGCTGCTACCAGGAATTCATCCAGGGTGGCTCTTGACCTGCACCTTCTTCTCAGATATTTATGTTAGTGTGGTTATTTGGGGAATCAATCCTGTCTGCCTCCCAGCTGCTGGGATAACGGATGTGGACTTTACTGCTTATTGTACAAGGTTTTAAAAATGGATGCCCTTCTATTTTTGTATATTGATTACTTTTAAGAAATAACAATTGCCTAAGCAAGCTGGTCAGTTTTCTACTCATTTGCTAAGGGCAGAAGCTGGCATTTATAGAGCCTGATGGGACTCCCCAGGACCTTGTGAGGGGTCCTGGCTGATGTCACAGAGCCAGGTCAGGCTCTTTTCAAGAGAGATGTCTAACACCCAAGGGGCAGCAGAGAAGTGGGCAAGCTCAGGGCCTGGGGCAGCCTGGCAGGAGGATACATGGAAGGACAGAGCAAGGCTGTGAGACTGGAGGGGCTGGTGGAATGAAGGCCATGGGAAGCCTGGCCACACTCCCGATGCCCAGCACCACTGCCATGTGGGCTGGGCAGCTCCCTCAGCACTGTACACCATTCTCTGGTTTAGGCAGAAGGTTCCTCACTGGATCTGAGTATGAAACATGCACAGCCAGATGTCTGACTTTGGCCTGTGCTGGTGACAGGGTCTCAGGTGGCTATTCAATCTCTCATGGTCAGTCAGTAACATGTGTGTAATAACAGGACCTATGTCACAGGCCTGTTCTGAGAACTAAGTGAGAAAATACAAGTAAAGTGCTTTGACTAGTGCATGAGACAAAGTACCATAAATATGCTATGTCGGGAGCAATGCTACATAATTTTAGGGAAAAATCATCTGGTTAGCCTAGTTCTCCTGCCTACAGCCCAGCTATGGAATTCCGAGACATAATTGCATTTTGGCCTCCGGTCACAACTGAGACCTCAATGATCCGGTGATGCTATGATTCTCCAGGACAAGAAACATCCTGGGAGCTGAAAACATCCTGGGAGGAACAAAACATCCACTCAGTTCCTCATTGTTCTTGGACCTTTACCATCTTGTTTACACGGATGTACTGAACTCTCTGCAAGCCATTTGTTACCTTTGTTTCTCCCGATGTACTGAATAAAACGTGCAGTGAGGTGGGGGCTTTTGTCTTTGCCGCCCAGAGCAGCACTGATCAGACCCAAAGCTCAGCTTCTTCTCAGTGTCATTTTTCTACCTTTCCTGTAATTCGCTGTGTGCTGCCGTGGGTCGCAGGAGACCAGGACTCACTGCAGAGGTTCTGGTAATGTCCCTTTCCCCTGTTCCCTACAATGCTATAAATATTAGCTACTATGATTATTTTTGGGTTGAACATCTCTAACTCAAAAATGCAAAATTCCAAGTACTCAAAAATCCAAAACTTTTTGAGTGCTGACATAATGTCATAAATGGAAAATTCTACACCCGACCTCATAAACAGGTCACAATCAAAATGTAAGCACACTAAAAAATGATGCATAGTTTCTTTCAGACCGTGTTTATACAATGTATATGAAACATAAATAAATTTTACACTTAGACTTGGCTCCCATCCTCCAGGTAGCTCATTATGGACATGTAAATATTCTAAAGTCTGAAAACCCCCCACAAAAAACAAAAAACACCCCATGAAATCCAAAACACTTCTGGTTCCAAGCATTCTGGATAAGGGATGCTCAATCTGTATTATAACCAGCTGTTACCTTATGGAACATGTGAAAACAGGTTTGCAGAAAAGCTATCTAGGCAAGGAGAATTCTATCTGGGTAAGGACTTGCTGCAAAAGTCTCTTCTTTTGTACTCTGTGAATAAGCCAGAAGATGCTATGAAAGATAATTACAAATCACCAAGTATCCCAGAGATCTATGCTATTGGCAGGTGCTGCAGGGAATACCTGCACAGAGAAATACAATACACATCTCTGCTCTTGAGAAGATTAAAATCTCAGTGGGAGACTGTATAACAACATGACAATTTAAACAGCGAAAGGTTTAAAATAACCAGTTAAAGAGAATAATGGATGTCACAAAGCATTCCATGATTAATTGTCAAATGAGTCATACAGATAATTGTTAAGAACCCAAAAGAAGGTGAAGAATGAACTGCTTGCATATATTTACAGCTCATGTTAACTTAGATGAAATAAATGTTAATTAATGAAGCCCCACATTTCTCACTTAAAATGCAAAAAAGCCCACATGCTTGCTTCTCAAAAGCTGAAACACAGAGCTACTATATGACCTAGCGATTCCATTCCTAGGGATGAAATCAGGGACTCACAGGTACTTTATGGTACGTCAATGTTCAGAGCAGCATTACCCACAATAGTCAAAAGGTGGAAACAATCTAAGCATCCACCCACACAGGAATGGGTGAACACAATGTGGTATCCCTGTGTGTGGGATACCATCCAGTCTAATACCTGGCACCATACAGAAGGGCCTGGAAACTATCAAGGGAAGTAAGCCAGAAACAAATACAGTATGAAATATCTGGAATAGGTGAATTCAAACAGATAGAATATAGGCTGGGGGGCAGAGGGAAAGGGGGGGGTTGTTGGTAATGGATGTAGAATTTTTTTTTTTGTACCGGGGATCGAACTTGGGATCTTCTGCTTGCAAGGCAGGTGGTGGAACGACTGAGCTAAATCTCCAGCCCGGATATAGAATTTTTAATGGCTGGGGTGATAGAAAAGTTTTAGAAATCAATAGTGATGGCTATACAACATTATGAATATAATTAATGTCAACTGAAATGTACACTTAAAATGGTTTAAATGGCAAACTTTATGCCATATATTTTACCATAATCTCAGAAACGAATATACAGGGCTGGGGATTTAGCTCAGTGGTTCCACCACCTGCCTTGAAAGTGCAAGGTCCTGAGTTCGATGCCCGGTACCAAAACAAAATAAAACAACAAAACAAAAAAACCCCAAATACACAAAATGCCACTGAATAATGGGGAAATTATACAGCATGTGAATGATACCTCAATTTTGAAAAGCCCACTGGCTCATTCAGAAACAGAAAAGCAAATGGGATTCAGTCTGAGGTGCTGGGAGCTGCACAGCTGCAGCACAGCTGCCTGTAGATACCTGGCTGAGGGCGGCTGAGAGCGGGCATAGGAGTTAGAAAGTGGGGCTCCAGGCAAGGTCCTTAAGCCTGGATTTGACTCCAGTAAGACGTGTGGGAAGCTGAATGTAAGGAGAAAGGGAAGGAAGGGGAGCTGCCCTAAAAAGTCAAGGCCCAGAGCCACTGCAGCTGTTTCTGGTGGTGGGCAGGTATAGGGAAAGGACAGCTGTGAGCACAGCTATGTGATGAGACACTGCTGAAGGGGAGTCTTCCCAACCTTCCCACTGGGGGTCATGACTCCACCCAGCTCCTGGTCCCAGGTCATAGTGCACATCAGCTCCTCGGCCTTCTCATGAACATGCGTCCTGTTGCAGGTGCACGTTCTGTGGGTGGTGTTCTAGTCCTAGCTCTTCGATCCTTGTACTGTGTGACCCTGGACAGCAGGCTGGGTAACCTGTAACATCCAGCCAGCCCCAACCCACCTGAAACCTATTAGAGCGGAGTGATTAATCGCAGCAGTAACGGATCCATTGAGGGTCCCTTAGCAATTTTAAGATAGTTAAAATAGGATTTGATCCACTAATTCATCTGTAGAGAAAACACATGTGTTTAGTAAGTGTACTGCACAGGTAAACCTGGACTCAGCCTATTCCTGCAGCTCATACTTCATTAGGTTCTGAGTAATTAAGAAAATGAGCAAGTTAAACAAGCAAAACATACAACACTAATTTTGATCAAACTGTAACCTGATTTCAAATACAAATTGGGCTCATTTGGAATTCTTGCCTCAAACTCAGAAATTGTGGAGAAACCAGCTTAACTGGAACTTTTTTTTTTTTTTGGTACCAGGGATTGAACTCAGGACCTTGCGCTTGTGAGGCAGGCTCGGTGCCACTGAGCTAAATCCCTTGCCCTGGTACTTTCTGAAGGTACAATGGGGCTGCTTCATGAATCAAGATAGTACACTGTCAATGAAGAATAGCTCTGTAATTTGGCCTAGACGACTTGTGGGAATTTAAGGCCAGCTCCTCAATGGAAACCCAAGTGATAGTGAGTCCACCTACCCATCGGAGCCTGAAGAGTCCTGCCTGTCAGTTTCACATCAGTGTCTTGTTATGCACTAAGACGGTGAGGACCTCCATAAACTCTTCATAGCTCCCCTGTAGCTGAGAAGACCCTGTGCCTAACAAGCAAATATGAACAACAGGGCCTAATGCTGACTTACCCACCTCTTTGGATTTGCATGCCACTGGTGTGGGGAAGGTAAATTACTTTTGATGGCTCTGCTTCTAATCTCTTCTACTGGTAGAAATCTCTGTGCTCTACCTAAACACTGTATG